CGGGGCTCTTTGTGGGTAGGTAATTGATAGCCACTCCCTTCGAGGGGCCAGCGTTTGGGTTGCGGTTGGATGTGGTGGCGAGAGTGGTCTGGGCAGCCCTTGTGGATGCTGAGCTGCTGTGGTTGACTGGCAAAATGAGGCTGCCTGGGATGGAGGAACGGGTCTCTCTGTGTGCAAACACTCGACGGAGAGGGAGCGAGAGGGAGCGTTGCCTTTCCAGGCTCTTCCAGGCTCCTTTGCTGCATCCCTTCCCCCTTCGCAAGCCCTGCCTTTTGTCTTGACCCCATTGTATTAAGGTTGGAGAGGAAGCTGCACCCAGGGCTTGATTGTTCCCTTGGTCAGGACCACATTTCCTCTATTGCTTCCCCGGCGGTGTCGGCGGCGTCACGGCCACCCCGCCTCCTCGCTCGCCATGTAAACAGAGCAGGCTGACCCAGCACGCCTCCCCCACTACCTTTCCTTTGGTACCAAGGAGCGATTAACCAGGCTCCGGTTACCATGGCAACTCTGAGTACCCAGCAGGCTCTTTCATCTCCATCTCTCTCATGCGCCTGCCCTAGGCAAGCCGGGATGATGAGGAGAGCCAGGCTCTTGGGTTTTTACCCCCTGTTTCAGGATGGGGCCCTTTGGGGTGGGAGACGTCGTACGGTTTTGCTGTGAGGGGAAAAAGAGACGTAGGTCTCTGGGGAAAGAGAGGAGGCCGTATTCCCTTTCTATTCCTAATCACTAATGGCTACCTTTTGTGTAAAAAAAAATACATAGAACATCCCGTAACCAGAGTTTCCTGATACATATATTTTTCTGAGTAAGCAGGGACAGAGTCAAGCTGTTTAAATGCTTTCCCCTTTTGTTGTTGTTCATTCGTTCAGTCGTCTCCGACTCTTCGTGACCTCATGGACCAGCCCACGCCAGAGCTCCCTGTCGGCCGTCACCACCCCCAGCTCCTTCAAGGTCAGTCCAGTCACTTCAAGGATGCCATCCATCCATCTTGCCCTTGGTCGGCCCCTCTTCCTTTTGCCTTCCACTTTCCCCAGCATCATTGTCTTCTCTCGGCTTTGCTGTCTCCTCATGATGTGGCCAAAGTACTTCAACTTTGTCTCTAGTATCCTTCCCTCCAGTGAGCAGTCGGGCTTTATTTCCTGGAGGATGGACTGGTTGGATCTTCTCAGCAGTCCAAGGCACTCTCAGAACTTTCCTCCAACACCACAGCTCAAAAGCATCGATCTTCTTCGCTCAGCCTTCCCTAAGGTCCAGCTCTCACATCCGTAGGTTACTACAGGGAATACCATGGCTTTGACTAGGCGGATCTTTGTTGCCAGTCTGATGTCTCTACTCTACTATTTTATCGAGACTGGACATTGCTCTCCTCCCAAGAAGTAAGCGTCTTCTGATTTCCTGGCCACAGTCTGCATCTGCAGTAATCTTTGCGACCTAGAAATACAAAGTCTGTCACGGCCTCCACATTTTCTCCCTCTATTTCCCACTTGTCAATCATTCTTGTTGCCATAATCTTGGTTTTTTTTGATGTTTAGCTGCAACCCGGCTTTTGCGCTTTCTTCTTTCACCTTGATTAGAAGGCTCCTCAGCTCCTCCTCGCTTTCGGCCATCAGAGTGGTGTCATCTGCATATCTGAGGTTGTTAATATTTCTTCCAGCAATTTTCACCCCAGCTTGCATTCATCAAGCCCCGCACATCGCATGATGTGTTCTGCATACAAGTTAAAAAGGTTGGGTGAGAGTATGCAGCCTTGCCGTACGCCTTTCCCAATCTTGAACCAGTCTGTTGTTCCGTGGTCAGTTCTGACTGTTGCTCCTTGGTCCTTGTACAGATTCCTCAGGAGAGAGACAAGGTGGCTTGGTATGCCCATCCCACCATCCCCTTTTAGAATCATAGAATCATAGGATCAAAGAGCTGGAAGAGACCTCATGGGCCATCCAGTCCAACCCCCTGCCAAGAAGCAGGAATACTGCATTCAAATCACCCCTGACAGATGGCCATCCAGCCTCTGTTTAAAAGCTTCCAAAGAAGGAGCCTCCACCACACTCCGGGGCAGACAGTTCCACTGCTGAACGGCTCTCACAGTCAGGAAGTTCTTCCTCATGTTCAGATGGAATCTCCTCTCTTGTAGTTAGAATTTATTATTATTTATTTATTTCAATTACTTATACCCCACCCTTCTCACCCCCGAGGGGGGACTCAGGGCGGCTTACAAACAATGGCACAATTCGATGCCTGAATCAATAAACAAACAATACCTAAAAACGATTTAAACAGTTAACAAGTTAAAAACATTAGTACATAATAAAACAGCAAAACAATCTCATGCTCAGTGTTCAGAGTTCCGTATATCCATTCCATTCCATTCGTCCGTGTTTATCGTCAGATCTTCCCTTAGCTGCCAGAATGTCCAAAAGCTTGGTCCCATATCCAGGTCTTCAGTTTTTTCCTGAACGCCAAAAGGGAGGTCGCTGATCTAATCTCCCCGGGGAGTGAGTTCCACAGGTGAGGGGCCACCACTGAGAAGGCCCTGCTCCTCGTCCCCGCCAACCTCACTTGTGATAGTGGCGGTCGAGAGCAGGGCCTCCCCAGACGATCTTAAATTTCGAGATGGGATGTAGAGGGAGATCCGTTCGGACAAATACACTGGGCCGGAACCATATAGGGTTTTGTAGGTTAAAACCAGCACTTTGAATTGTGCTCGGAATTGGATCGGCAGCCAGTGGAGCTGATGTAACAGGGGGGTGGTATGCTCCCTGTACGTTGCTCCGGTGAGCAATCTGGCTGCTTCTCGCTGGACTAGTTGAAGTTTCCGAGCAGTCTTCAAAGGCAACCCCACGTAGAGTGCGTTGCAGTAATCCAACCGGGATGTAACAAGAGCGTGGACCACCGTGGCCAGATCTGACTTCCCAATGTTCCGCGTCCTAGTCTCCAAGGGAAGCAGAAAACAAGCTTGCTCCCTCCTCCCTGTGGCTTCCTCTCACATATTTATACATGGCTATCATATCTCCTCTCAGCCTTCTCTTCTTCAGGCTAAACATGCCCAGCTCCTTAAGCCGCTCCTCATAGGGCTTGTTCTCCAGACCCTTTGATCATTTTAGTCGCCTCCTCTGGACACATTCCAGCTTGTCAATATCTCTCTTAAATTGTGGTGCCCAGAATTGGACACAATATTCCTGTAGCTTCACTACTGAGCTGAAATCTGAATTAAAAACATAGCCCAATCACAATAAATAAATAAATAAATAAATAATCTTGGTGTCTTGTTTTTTTAGGCCTGTTCCTGGGGCTCTTTGGAGCTCTGATTCATAAAATTGCATTGGATCGAACACATTAGCTCTAGTCTCTTAGATATGGTTATCGTGGTTTTCTATGGGTGAGCAGATGGCAGCGGGTAGATGGCATATGTTCTGTATCTCAAAAACTAAAGCTGGTAAGGGGAAAAGTAGTGCCATTTTTGGAATCGTCAGATAAGTATACCCAGAAGCGGAGCTAACATGTGAGGCACCAAAATGTGTGTTGGACAGTGGTTTTAAACAGTGTATTTTAATATTGAGGCGAAGTTAAACATGAGCCAACAATGTGATGTGGCGGCAAAAAAGCCAATGGGATTTTGGCCTGCATCAATAGGAGCATAGTGTCTAGATCTAGGGAAGTAATGCTACCCCTCTATTCTGCTTTGGTTAGACCACACCTGGAATATTGTGTCCAATTCTGGGCACCACAATTCAAGAGAGAGATTGACAAGCTGGAATGTTTCCAGAGGAGGGCGACTAAAATGATCAAGGGTCTGGAGAACAAGCCCTATGAGGAGCGGCTTAAGGAGCTGGGCATGTTTAGCCTGAAGAAGAGAAGGCTGAGAGGAGATATGATAGCCATATATAAATAAGTGAGAAGAAGCCACAGGGAGGAGGGAGCAAGCTTGTTTTCTGCTGCCCTGGAGACTAGGACGCGGAGCATTGGCTTCAAACTACAAGAGAGGAGATTCCATCTGAACATTAGGAAGAACTTCCTGTGAGAGCCATTCAGCAGTGGAACTCTCTGCCCCGGAGTGTGGTGGAGGCTCCTTCTTTGGAGGCTTTTAAACAGAGGCTGGATGGCCATCTGTCAGGGGTGCTTTGAATGCAATATTCCTGCTTCTTGGCAGGGGGTTGGACTGGATGGCTCATGAGATCCCTTCCAACTCTTTGATTCTATGATTCTATGAATGTTTTTAATGTTTATGTATGCATATAATGAATTCCTGTTCTGGCATTGAATGTTTGCCGTATATTTATTTATTTTATTTATTTAAAACATTTATATTCCGCCCTTCTCAGAGCGGAGCACAGCATATACACGGCAAACATTCAATGCTTGGATACAATACATAAACATTTAAAAACATTTATCGAAATAGTAAAATAACACCATTTAAAACCGTATATATGCTGTGCTCCGCCCTGAGTCCCATTCGGGGTGCGAAGGGCGGAATATAATGTTTTAAATAAAATAAATCTACAAATAAATAAATCTACAAATAAATAAATCTACAAATACTTACAAAGCCCTAAACGGTTTGGGACCCTCCCACCTACGTGACCGCATCTCTGAGTACGAACCTACACGATCTCTTCGTTCATCTGGAGAGACCCTGCTCACGGTCTCACCTGCATCGCAGGCGCGATTGGTGGGGACGAGGGATAGGGCTTTCTCGGTGGTGGCCCCTTGACTCTGGAACTCTCTCCCTAAAGACATCAGGCAGTTCCCGTCGCTAGCAATCTTTAGGAGGAGCTTGAAGTTATTGTTATTGCTGTTGTTGTTATTGTTTTACTATTGTATTTGGGCTCAGCCTCTTTTAAGCCACACCGAGTCCTTCGGGAGATGGTAGCGGGGTACAAATAAAGGTTTATTATTATTATTATATTATAAATCTCTTCTCTACTTCTTTCTGCCTTGTCAGGGCAAAGGAATGCCCAGTGCCTCGTGTGTTGAGATGCTTTGAATCTCTTTCTTCTCTCTAGGGCTGCCCAGAGCTGCTCCCTGGTGGGGAGATCTTAATACCAGTGGGAGTGCTGCAACCTATTACTCTACGTGCCAAAAACCTTCCACAACCCCAATCGGGCCAGAAGAACTATGAGTGTGTCCTGGGCATCCAAGGTCGCCAACAGCGGGTGCCAGCTGTGCGCTTCAACTCGAGCAGTGTGCAGTGCCAGAATACCTCGGTGAGAGACCCCCTTTGCGTCCATATTTTTAAATACATCTTGGTTACAAAGAGTCGGAAACGTCTGAATGAATGAACAACAATATCTTGCTTCTTGAAATCTGAAATCAAGGGGACTCGACTTTGGAAACAGATATTTTCCTTAGTCTGATACACGTGTGCATTTGCATACACAGTTGTACACATTGAACATGTGTGCATTTGCATGTCAGAGACTTCATGTCTCTGACATGCAAATACACACATGTGCAATGTGTACAACTGTGTATGTATGTGTTTTAAGGACTTGGGGAGCCTGCATGTGAAAGTGCCTCTCAGCCCATTGAGTTGTGAGTTGCAGTGTTGTTTTCAGGCCTTAACTTTGGTGGAGTAGCTTCTAGTTGCATGCTTTTATTTCTTTGCAATTGACTATCTATAAAATCGGAATAGAGATTTAATTTACAGTACTCTTGAAAGGCTGAGTTATCTAAAAAGCACTCTGCATATATTAAGCAGGAGATTTCTTTCATACTGTATAAGTGCTTTAACACATCACCAGAAGTATAAAGCTTATGCTTTCCCCCACTTTGTTCCCTCCTGAACTGAGTCTGCTAGTGCTATATCTCTATCTATTCTGCAATTACAACACGTTTTAAGTATAGCAAAGCCATGAACGATATTCATTACACAGATGTTAGAATAAGAAATTGGAAAGCAACAGTAGATAGATTTTCAAGTAAAAAGCAGAATATCAGCATAAATGTAATGCAGGTTGAAAAAAAAATACTAATAACATACTCTTACATGGGGTCAGAAAGCATACTTCTTATGGTGCCAAATATTCTAAAGGTTTTCTGGTGCCATAGAAATTGTCAACTTTCTGATATTTGCTAGTCTGGTGACTGTTACTTGTGGACAGAGAAGAAGGCCTCATATGTTGATTTGAAAGCTTGGTCAACTTTACTATTATGTGTAAAGGTGATGTGATTCAGATGCTGTGCCTTGAAACAATTCGGTGCTCTAGAAACCAAAAATGTATGCCCAGAAATTATATATATATTTACAGCATTTATATTCTGCCCTTCTCACCCCGCAGGGGACTCAGGGCGGATTACAGTGTACACATATATGGCAAACATTCAATGCCAATTTTGACATACAACATATACAGACATACACAGAGGCTATTTAACTTTTTCTGGCCGCCAGGGGAACTGTCGCTTTCATTGTCCATCTGCGACACTGATGAAGTACTTCCGCATTCCCCGCATGCTTTTGCTGGAGTGCTTTGCTGGAGTCTTTTTATGGCCTCATAAATTAGTTAATTTAGCCTCCCCACACTTTAAGGTGATACCTAATTTTCCTACTTGACAGATGCAACTGTCTTTCGGGTTGCAAAGGTCGACAACAGGCTACACAATTGGTTGGAAACCCATTCCAACCCGGGCTCGCTTCGAACTCATGACCTTTTGGTCAGAGTGATCTTAATGCAGCTGACACTCAGCCAGCTGCGCTACAACTAGCCGTCCCCTGCCATGCGTTGCTGTAGCTCACTCTGGTGGTCATGGGGGTTCGGAGATCGTTTTTGCCTTATGTTTTGTTTTCAGACTTCTCAGGGGCAGCTAGTTTCTATAGGAATCCATAAGACTGGACTACGCGGTGTTTGGCGTAATCCAATTGATTCTTTCCATCTGAGTGCCAGCCAGCCGTGGCCTTCCTATGCACCAGAGTAGGGAGAGCATTTCAGGTTGCATATTTTGGGTGTCCTAAATAAACAATAGGTAGTTAATCAGTTCCTTTTGGTGTTGTACCTTTACTGCTGGGTATTTATTTATTTCTTTCATATATTTATATCCCGCCCTTCTCCTCACAAGGGGGACTCAGTGCGGCCTCACATAAGCATCAGAGGATGCTAACAGCATAAATACCATAAAAATTATAATTCACAATAAAATCATTTTAAAACATTGTACAAAATCCAGATAGCATTGTCATTAGTCAAAAACAACTTACAGGTATTTATTTATCGTGTCATCAGCAACCAGACATTTGTATTACATTTTTAACAAAAACAAATAAACAGACAGACAAAACACAGAATTTGCAAGCTTGGTAGTTGATTAAATGTCCTTTGAGCAGTATCTGGCCACTTGGAGTACCTCTGGTGTTGCTGCAAGGAGGACCTCAGTTGTGCATGTAGCAGGGCTCAGGTTGCATTGCAGCAGGTGGTCTGTGGTTTGCTCTTCTCCACACTCGCATGTTGTGGATTCCACTTTGTAGCCCCATTTCTTGAGGTTGGCTCTGCATCTCGTGGTGCCAAAGCGCAGTCTGTTCAGCGCCTTCCAAGTCACCCAGTTTTCTGTGGGCCCATTTGGTATCAGCCATTGATTGAGGTTCTGGGTTTGAGCCTGCCACTTTTGGACTCTTTCTTGCAGAGGTGTTCCAGCGAGTGTCTCTGTAGATCTTAGAAAACTATTTCTTGATTTAAGTCGTTGACGTGCTACAATAAAATCATTTTAAAACATTATGCAACATCATCAGTAAAATTTAACAATAAATTAACAGATTAATGTGCCAGTAAAACCAAGCCGAGCCAGGAGAATCCATATTGCAAAATCAAAATTTCCTTTTCCTATTGCCGCTGGCCTTTAATCGAACGCCTGGCCCCAGAGCCAGGTCTTCAGTTGTCTTCTAAAGGGCAGGAGGGAGGTGGCCAACCTGATATCCTTAAGGAGAGAGTTCCACAGACGGCAGACCACTGCCGAGAAGGCCCTGTCTCTCGTCCCCACCAACCGCGTTTGCGAGAGTGATGGGATCGAGAGCAGAGCCTCTCCTGATGATCTTAAGCTTCGTGATGGTTCATAGCAGGAGATACGTTCGGACAGGTAATCTGAGCAATTTAGGTAATCTAAAGATGCTTGTGGGAGTTTCCGCCCCATGTGCTAGAAGAACTTGGCTGCTTTGGGTATCCTTCTTCTTCTTCAGCTTCTGCTCTGCCTCAGACAGAAAAATGTTGTGGGCTGGCCCTGCTAGTGCAGAAGGACTTTTGCCTCTGACTGCCAGAGGAAAGAAAAAGAAAGAGATGGAAAAGAAAAAAAAATGGCCTTCCTGGCGTGTCTGTGAATTGCCAGAGATATTTGGCTGGCCACTGTTGGCAATGGAGACTGGAGACTGGGTGGGTCATAGCCTAATCCAGGAAAGCAGTTTTTGTGTGTAACATCTGGGAGCAGTAAATATAATGCTAAAGGATTAATATTAAATTAATCTTTATTAAAAGTGAAGAGCGGGACATAGGTTCAGCTTCTCAGGTTCCTTAGCTTTTAATATAACTCACGGTTTAACTAGATCCTCCAACCTCAGTATGTAACATTAATCCTAACTGAGTTGCATGTATGCTTCACCGGGTGCTTCTTGAAACTGCCCTCTGGTGCTCAGGCCTCATATTGCAGATGGTGACCATATCTCTGTGGTTATTAACACTTCTGTGTTTCAGAGAGAGCCTCAAGTATTCAAACTAGACACTGGGGCAACTTATTGTGGATGAAGCGGTGCTATTTCTCTATTCCTGCCCCTTCCCCTTGATGTCTGGCTACTCCATCCTTTCCAGATGCCAGAATTCCTTCCTCTTGCACATTAGTTCCTATTCCAGGTGTTTCAGATTTCAACCTCCAGAAGCCTCAGGCAGCTTGGCCAGTGGTCTGGGAGCAGAAGCCCAAAACATCTGGAAGGCCAAACCTTGGGTCGATTTATTTATTTGTCGTGTCAGGGCAGCCAATCAATTATATTACATTTCTAACAGAACAAAGCAAACAAACAGCCAAAATACAGAGTTTGCAAGCTTGGTAGTTGATTAAATGTCCTTTGACCAGTAGCTGGCCACTTGGAGTGCTTCTGGTGTTGCTGCAAGAAGGTCCTCCATTGTGCATGTGGCAGGGCTCAGGTTGCATTGCAGCAGGTGGTCTGTGGTTTGCTCTTCTCCACACTCGCATGATGTGGATTCCACTTTGTAGCCCCATTTCTTAAGGTTGGCTCTGCATCTTGTGGTGCCCGACTTCCATCATTAATGTTCAGCGCCTTCCAAGTTGCCCAGTTTTCTGTGTGCCCAGTCTCTCATTTGGTATCAGCCATAGATTGAGGCTCTGGGTTTGAGCCTGCCACTTTTGGACTCTCACTTGCTGAGGTGTTCCAGCGAGTGTCTCTGTAGATCTTAAAAAACTATTTCTACATTTAAGTCATTGACGTGCTGGCTGATATCCAAACAGGGGACGAGCTGGAAATGTCTCTGCCTTGGTCCTTTCACTATTGGCTGCTACTTCCCGGTGGATGTCAGGTGGTGCAATACCGGCTAAGCAGTGTAATTTCTCCAGTGGTGTAGGGCGCATACACCCCGTGATAATGCGGCATGTCTCATTAAGAGCCACATCTACTGTTTTAGTGTGGTGAGATGTATTCCACACTGGGCATGCATACTCAGCAGCAGGTAGCATAGCGCAAGGGCAGATGTCTTCACTGTGTCTGGTTGTGATCCCCAGGTTGTGCCAGTCAGCTTTCGTATTATATTGATTCTAGCACCCACTTTTTGCTTGATGTTCAGGCAGTGCTTCTTGTAAGTAAGAGCACGGTCCAGAGTGACTCCCAGGTATTTGGGTGTGTTGCAATGCTCCAGTGGGATTCCTTCCAGGTAATCCTCAGAGCTCGGGATGCTTGTCTGTTCTGAAGGTGAAAAGCACACGTCTGTGTTTTAGATGGATTGGGAATCAGCTGGTTTTTCCTGTAATAGGCAGCAAGAGCACCTAAAACTACAGAGAGTTTCTGTTCCACCATTTCAAACCTCCCTGCTTGGAAGGTGAAAGGTACATGTCTGTCTTTTAGATGGGTTAGGGATCAGCTGGTTTTCCCTGTGATAGGCAGTAAGAGCACCTAGAGCTTCGGAGAGCTTCTGTTCAACCATCTCAAAGCTCCCTGCTTGAGCGGTGATGGCACGATCATCAGCATAGATGAAACTCTCTGTCCCTTCTGGCA